TTCTTCCGAATGTTAAAGCTTTAACATTTTAAAATTAAAAATAATTGAAAGAAGAAATAAAGAAATAGAGACTAGTGATGTTAATAATGATTTGGTTGGTTTTCCTTTGACGTGTTTCTTTATTAATCGTGATATACTTATTGCTAGCGTATTTAGAAAAAAAAAATGACAGTGAAACATTATATTGGCGTATCATATGAGAATAGGTAACAGATCATCTATAAAAAACATTTATCTAATAGAAATAGTCCGTTTCATAAAATATTCTTTAAAAGCAGTTGAATAAACAAACGCATTTCAGTTCTTTATGATCTTACGTTGAATGAAGATAATATTAATTGTGAAAAAAAAAACACAACAATAACCAGTGTAAGTGTTTTCGCAATGTTCAGAAAGGATAATCTTTTGCGTCTCGTCGATTGGTTTTATAGTGATTTCACGTATATTGACTATTGTTTAATTCATTTGTATACTTGCAAGTGTTTTCGAAAAGATATCTACTCGGTAAGTCGATGCGATTTATTTATCTTTAATTAATTACACTCTTAGACTGTTACGTTTTGCCGCAATTTTCGCACATAAGCGCCACCTTATATGGACTAAGAACTAGCTGCCGTGAACGCTTATTAAATAGAAATTAAGATTCCAACCTAGAGTACGTTAAAATACTGTGACGTTAGTACGTTATTTTCTGTATACGTATGTATAGGTAGTAAACAAAATGACGTACTTCGGAAAAGATAATTAAGAAGTAATTTTTTCCTTTTTATCAGTAAATGCTGTTCTTGACGCAATTATTATACATGTGGAAGAATGTCACGTATAGACTAATTGCTTAGACCAGCGTATCAACTTAGAATTTACAAAAAATCGCACTTTTTTCGATTATCGACTGCAAAGCCATAATAGGTATCTATACTTATCGTGTCTAAAATCCATTATGCGTTACTAAAAACTGACCAAGGATTCTCCACAACGTCAAAGAAAGGCCATAGGACGGTAGGCATAGTGAATCGGTCCCAGAGGTACATCTGCCTTTATACCATGAGGGTATATTGGTACTAACGAGATACGTTAATCCTGAAAATTTTAGATCTCTATCTATTTTGGTTTTTGAATAAATTTAAAACAACGAAAAATCAGAAAATATTTTTCTCAAAACCGATTTGAATGAAATTTATAGACGTTATAGAGGTATATAAGAGCTATACTCGGAAAAAAATAACAGCTCATAATTTTTATAATAATCATTAAAAACAGGCAATTATTTTCGAAATATTTTTTTTCTTTATGATAACATTCTAGAACAATTTTGAAATTATTTTTTNAAGTTGTACTTCCCGAATTTCGATATCTTTAAAATTTATTTAACTTTAATACGTTAAACATTAGACGAGTTAATGTTGTCATGAAAATATTTGGATTTTTTACATTGTTAAGGGTTTTGAATTAAGAATTACGTGTTTCCATGCATAAATATTTAAATATAAATTAAGAACAAGGCAAGTTTAATATTTTCTAAAATGAACCACAAAAAAGATATTTCTCTATTTAAAAAAAATATATACGTACCTATGTATTTGTATCTGTTTGACAGTGGAAATAATGCAGTTGGTAGTACAATAAGTACTTCTCAAAGTGTGATTACGTTTTTCTTTAAATTCAATTAAATTTTTTCCCGTTTTGTTTAAACTTAACTGCAATACCTGCTTCGTTTGTGCAATTTAAGAAAACTGGGTTAAATTAATTGCGAAAATATACATGCAACTAAAAAGAAACCTATAGAAAGCGTTTATAATATAATTCTACAGCAACTAATTTATATCAAGAAAACTGATTTACTTCGTACTAGAAATATTCTACAGATATAAACGCGTAATGTGGTTTTGTTCTAAAAAACTGTTTGTTTTGTTGTAAATAAAATCACATTTAGAATACTATATGGTCATAGTAATAAAGCACAATGATACCATTATTAATCAACAATAACTTTTTTGATTTATGAAATCTAGCTCACAGAGTTTTTGTTTACTATTGTTGCTTCTTCGCAAATGGAATAAATTATTTAATCAAATTACCTGCCTTTCTGTTTTTCAAGGTATAAACATTGAAATAAATCAATTTTTATATAAAAAATCGGTTTTTATTGTTTTTCAATATGGCGTACCTTTTTGATAGATTTAACTATTTGAGAGGTGATTTTACATTGGAAATGGTCTACCAGAGCCACTCTCATTTATACTGATCAATGAAGCTTGGCATCCATAATATTTAGGAAGGGACTTCTACACTCTACCCCCTTTATTTACATATTGAAGCTCATTTAATTTGTAGTTTTTAGTTTTTAAGACAGAATAGAATGTAGAGATTCATATAATCTCAAACACAGATTTGTATAATCCAAAGAGAGATCATGTAATACAAAGAGAGATCACATAATCCAAAGACAGCTGAGATAGTTTCAAATCAAACAGATTCGATTGTACATAGTCCATAGTGTAAATTAAGGTATCCAGTAGATGTAAGTTCAATATAAAATTCCAAACAAATTAAACATCTACGCGTTCTTATCTCAATAACTAAATAGCACCGCTAATTAGTTTTGGTGATGCCGCTTTATTCTGTACTAATACGTAACAGCAGGATTTTGCCGGATACGAACCCTTACAAGGTTGAACAATAAATAAAATCCAATTGAGAACGTTCTTTTTTTTTAAATTTATTGAAAATCTTTTGTATGTAGTAATTAAGGTTGCCACGCGTACTTTATTATAAAGTATTGTACTCTATTTCGACTGTGCGTACGTTATACTTTACAAGACACATAAAGTACGCAAAAATACTTTATTTAAGGCCTTCAGTAAACATCGTAATTTTGTAAGCGATTATTCGAAATTCAGAGTACTTTTACATCAATAAT